ACCCCGGCGTGTGCCCCGCGGCCCATGCCCCTGGGAGACCCGCACTGACCCTGCCGTGCCGCCTCTAGGGAAGAACGACATCTTTGGGGAGCCACTGAACCTGTACGCGCGGCCGGGCAAGTCCAACGCGGATGTGCGGGCTCTGACCTACTGCGACCTGCACAAGATCCAGCGGGAGGAGCTGCTGGAGGTGCTGGACATGTACCCCGAGTTCTCAGACCGCTTTTGGGCCAGCCTGGAGATCACCTTCAACCTGCGCGACGTGAGAGCCGGGGGGCTCCGGGGGTGCTCAGCGGGGCCGGGGGAGGCAGGGGGGTGCCAGGCCAGGGAGGAGAGCTTTGGTGTGCTCAGCCAGGCTGGGGGGAGCTCTGGGGTCACTCAGACAGGCTGTGGGGGGAGAGAGCTTTGGGGTCACTCAGAGAGGCTGTGGGGGGAGAGAGCTTTGGGGGCGCTCAGACAGGCTGGGGGGGCTCTGTGGGCTCTCAGCCAGGCTGAGGGGGAGTACCCCGCCTGCTCCTGACCCCACTCCACCCCCACCGAGCCATCCACCCTGCTCCCAACTAACCACCAGTGTATTCACCCACCCACCCACTGTGCCATCCACCAACCTGTCCCCCACCTACCCGCGCCCCCACCCACCTAACCACCAGTGTATCCATTTCCCCCTCTCCCCACGCCTACCCCCTCCCCAGTTTCCGGCCCGGCTCACGGCTCTCCCTCCTTGCAGACCAACATGATCCCCGGCTCCCCCGGAAGCACCGAGCTGGACGGCGGCTTCAACCGGCTGCGGCACCGCAAACTGTCCTTCCGCCGGCGCACGGATAAGGGTGAGTGGGGGCGGGACAGCAAGCACGAGGAGCGTAGGGCCTCCCGCAGCGTAGGCTCTGTGCCCTGCCCAGGGCACCAGCCCCTCTCCCAGCGCAGGGCCGGTGTCTCCGCCCAGAGCGCCAGCCCCTACTCCTGGGGGAATTCTGTGCCAAAAAATTAAAAATTCTGCAACAGAAAATTAAAAATTCTGTGCGCAATATTTTAAAGTTCTGCAAAATTCTGCATATTTTATTTGTGAAAGTAACACACTGTAATCACACCAGTTTCAATTATTTTTGGTCATTTATTTCAAAACACCCACCAGCAAGTGTGTCTGTAACAATACAGACAACAAAAAAGATTCAGGAAATATTTTTTGACAAACAAATTATTAGGCATATTAATATAGAACTCTGAATAAAAATTCATTTAAACTACAATACAGAACCGTATTTCCTGCACCCCCCAGAAGCAGTGCAAAGGCTGGCGGGAGTCAGGGGTAATGGAGGAGCTGAGGGAGAGGGAAGTAAATTGCTGGGAAGGAGTCTGGGTGTGAACTTGGAGGGTTGTTGGGTGTGGGTGAGAAAAGTATGGAACAGGTTTTGGAGGGCAGGGAGGGATCGTTGGGGAGCTTCCCCCATGCAGATCCTGGCTGACCCCTAGCCTCTCCCATTCAATCAGGCACACCTTCCCTGTTTCCATGTGTTCCTGTACCCCCATATGTCCTTGCACCCCCATTCAGACACCCACTCCCCCCATCCCCATGTGCCCCTGTCCCCCCCCCCCCCCAATCCAATGTGTCTCTGTGCCCCCACTCAGCCACTCCCTGTCCCTATATACCTCTGCACACCCTCCCCCATCACCGTGTGGCCCTGCACCTCCCTCCCCTCTGTGGCCCTGCACCTCCACTCCCATTCAACCCCCGTCCCAGGCTGTCCTCCCTCACTAGCCCTTATGAGTCCCTGTCTAACCCCCCCGCAGCACCGCACGCTGTCTGTCTCACCATAGCCCCTGTCTCCTGACCTGGCCTGACAGGCGCAGCGAAGAAGGCAGACTCTTTCTCTTCCCTAGCTGGCCAGGAGCTGCTGCTCTGTTCTATTGTCACAGTGCCCTCTGGTGGGCAAAAGGCAGAACTGCGGCAACATTTCAGCAGAAGCTTTTTTCTGTGCAAAAAATTAAAACTATGCACAGCTAATTAATTAGGCACGTGCGCAGTGGCGCAGAATTCCCCAGGAGTAAACCCACCTCCCAGCGCAGGCTCCGTGCCCCGCCCAGGGCTCCGCCCTGACACCGGACCCCCAGCTGGCTCCCCCCGGCCCGCAGCCAGGGCCCCGCCCAGCCCGGCTCTGCGGAACACTCCCCCCCCCCCCCCCCCCGCCCCACAGACCCGGAGAACGCCGGGGAGCGGAGGAGCAGCCAGAAGCCGCTGCGGACGGGTCGGAACCACCAGGCACCGGGGGTCCCGGGGGATCAGCCTGAGTGGGAACCCTCCAGCGACGAGGACGAGCGCCCCACGCCCATCGCCAGTGCCGGCCAGCTGTCACCCCTCCGCGCCAACGGGGAGCTGTTGATCCAGGGCGACGGGCAGCCCAAGGGCAGCGAGACGTGCAGCCCCCTCTCAGGTGGGACAGGGCACGGCACGAGGACAGGTGCTGTGTGGGGAGGGCCCTGGGGCTAGGCGCCTGGGGGGACACCAAGAGGAACATGAGGGACAGCATGGGGGGAGGGGAGGGGCTCCAGGGAACTGGTGCCAGGGGGCGCAGGCTCGTCACAGGCCTGATGGCTGCCTGGGGTGGCTCAGGCCCGCAGGCGCCCCCCTCGACCAGTGCCAGGCCGTGGCCACGCTGAGCATGGCCGAGCAATGCTGCCGTGTGTCTAACCGGCCTGGCCCACGGGCAGCTGGCCGCACCCAGCCGTGTCTGCGGCAGGGACAGCGAGGCCAGGCCTGGCACGACCTAGCACCTGTCTGCCAGCGTCTTGGGGTCAGCAGGCTGCAGCGCCAGGCCCCCCTTGGCCTCTCAGGCACATTTCTGGGCATCAACACTCACGCTGCCTTCCTGCTCTGGGCACCCCCCCGTCCCCTGCCCAAAGGGCACCGGCTAACGCTGGGCAAGCAGCCCTCGCACTTCCCCCCAGCCCCTGTGAGGTGCTGCCCGTGGGAGCCAGCTGAGGTCACTCAATGAGGGTGAACTGCAAACAGAAGGGGGCAGACAAACCCCAAACGCTGGTGGTTATTCCAATACTTAGGCTACGTCTTCACTGAGGGGGGGGTCGATTTAAGATACGCAAATTCAGTTACGCGAATAGCGTAGCTGAATTCGACGTACCGGAGCCGACTTACCCCGCTGTGAGGACGGCGGCAAATCGACCTCCGCGGCTCCCCCGTCGAAGGCGCTTACTCCTACCTGGGCTGGTGGAGTACAAGCGTCGATTCGGGGATCGATTGTCGCGTGACGCGATAATTCGATCCCCGAGAGATCGATTTCTACCCGCCGATTCAGGCGGGTAGTGAAGACGTAGCCTTAGATTTACCAACCAGCCCAAAACAGCTTCTGTATTACCTCAAAAATAACAGGAGTACTTGTGGCACCTTAGAGACTAACAAATTTATTAGAGCATAAGCTTTCGTGGGCTACAACCCACTTCTTCGGATGCATATAGAGAGAAATATATTGAGGAGATATATATACACACATACAGAGAGCATGAACAGGTGGGAGTTGTCTTACCAACTTTGAGAGGCCAATTAAGTAAGAGAAAAAAAACTTTTGAAGTGATAATCAAGATAGCCCAGTACAGACAGTTTGATAAGAAGCAAGTGTGAGAATACTTACAAGGG